TGGTGCTGGAGAAGAGTATTGAATGTACCATGGACTGCTAGGAAAACAAACAGATTTGTCCTGGAAAGGGTTAAACCGGGTGGCTCCTTGGAGGCAAGAATTCTGAGGCTCCGTCTAACATACTTTGGACATGTTGTAAGGAGAAGAACATCATGCTTGGGAGGGTGGAGGGACAGCGCAGGAGGGGAAGGCCCTCTATGAGGTGGATTGATTCAGTGACTGGGGTAATTGGGAAGGGAGTGTCAGAGACAGTGAGATTGGCACAGGATAGAGCAGGGTTTATGGCTGTTTTACATAGGGTCACTATGAGTCGCAAGGTACTCGACAGCACACAACAACAACAACAACAACATACCGTCACTAGGAGTCAGAATTGACTTGATGGCAATTATTATTATGACTTTTTAATAGTGTTGTGTTTCAAATACTCCTGTACACTCTGAGGACTCAGTGAGGAATAAGACAAAGCTCACTAATAAAACAATTATTTGTTTAAAAAAAAAAAGACAAAACTCCCTGCCTTCTTGGAATGCATGTTGTGGTATAGGAAACAGACAACATACATAGTAACAAGTAAATATATGTAATAATTTAGATGGTGATTGTTTTAGTTAGCTAGTGTTTCTGTAACAGAAATACCACAAGTCAATGGTTTTATTAAAAAAAATTATATTTTCACTGTTTAGGAGGCTAAAGTCTAAACTGAGGGCACAGTCCCTAGAGGAAAGCTTTCACTTTGTGTCAACTTTAGGAGAAAGTCCTTGTTCCTTTAAAGATCTGTGGCCTGGTGTCCCTTGGAGAGCCCTGTGTGTCCTGGGCTCCCCAGTGTTGAGAAGTCCACAGCACAGGGACCTGGATCCAAGAGACAGTCTCTGCTCCTGCCTCTTCTTCCCTGGTGGTCCTGAGATCCCGTTCACTCTGTCACTTCTCTCCTTTTTTACTTCTTATAAGATAGAAGGTCACACTTTGGGGACACTGCTGGCTTTGAGTCAGAGCTATGACCGGATTAATTATATTGCATTCCTCCCCTCCCCCACCTCGAGTCCTTGTACATCATATCAGGTCTGATCACATCAAAACATGTCAACTGATCTGTAAGGATGACCACATCAGTCTAGAACTGTGACATTACATTAACCCACTGAGAATCATGGCTCTGCCAAACTGACACATAATTTTTTTAAAAATTTATTTTATTAATTTTAATTAACATTTACAGAGGTTTTGGATTTTCATTCATTCATTGTTGCATTTTTTTCTTAACCCCCCTCCCCCCACTTCGCTCCTCTCTTTTAAAAGCAAAAGACAAAGTTCTTCGTTGGTATACAATCCCCCTGGCCCCGACCTTGCCCACCCCCACCCCCTAAATGCACTCCACTTTGCAACCTTAATTCTGGATTCCTGTGATAATCATAATATGCTATCATACATGTATCACTTTTAAACTGTTCTCTCCCTCATCTGTTTCAATTCAGTATACATCATCTTTGAGGGACATATTTCAATCTATGACAGTGATAAATGCTGTGGGAGGAAGAGAAAGTAACAAAGGAAAAGGGAATATTATGGGTTGTTGTGTGGTGCTTGAAATATTAAACAAGATGATTGGGAAGGCATGAGGTTATAAATAGAGCTGTACAGGAGATAAGGGGTCAGATGTACGTCCATCTAGAACATGGGCTTTCTTGGCAGAAGGACCTACAGGTGTAATGGCCCCGAGGTGGCAGCCTGCCTGGTGTGTTGAGGACAACAGGAGACTTATGCAGAAGTGGCCCTGATCATTTCCTCTTCTTTTTCCAGATTGGCTGGTTCCCCTCCAACTATGTGGAGGAAGATTACTCGGAATACTGCTGAGGCCTAGCACACTGGCAGACATGAGCGACTCCAGGTTCTGAGCCCAGAATGGGCAGGCATTGAGGACAGGGGCTTTGACGGGTCCCAGTGAGCCGAGGGCTCGGAGTGGACTGTGGAGGGCCAGAGCCCAGCTGGATAGGGTTCTGGAGCCTTGGTTAATTTATCACACGCTTGGATCCCTCAACAAGAAGGGGCATAAGACAGTCACTCTTAATAAAGTGATGAATGAATGGAATGATGTAATTCAGAAGGACCTGGAAAGAGAATCAAGGAGCGGGGGAGGGAGTTGGGACAGAGACCAAAACCCACTCTTCAACCCCTACCTCCCAACTTTATCACCTTTCCCTGCCATTTTGCAGTTAATACTCAAAGAAAGAAATGGAATTCTACACATCAAGAAAGAATGTTCCACTCACAGATTCAAGATTACTAACATTTAACTATCTTCACCTCCACACTCCCTCCAATAATAGAATTTAATTTCTATTTTGACTCCCTTCTTCCCTCTTGCCAGCCGATTCTGGTCTCTGGTTGACCAACCTATCCCATGGTGCCCTGGATAAAAGATCTAGCAATCTACCTACATAAAGGCTTTTATTTTTAGTAGCTGTCAAGTTGATTTTAACTCAAGGTGACTCCAAGTGTATAGAATAGAACTGCACCTTAGAATCTTCAAGGCTGTGACATTTTGGACATATACTACCAAGGTCCTGTGGGTGGATTTGAACTGCCAGCCTTTTGGTTACTAAGCAAGTGCTTAATCATTTCTTCCCCCAGAGCCCCCATAAAAATTATAGGCAAGAAAACAGCATGGATCATTTCTACTCAGTATCACGTGGAGTTTCCATAAATTGGAATGGATTAGATGAGCTTTTAATCTTAATGAGTGGTAAAAATGTTACATGAGTTGAGTTGGGTCTCTTCATTCAATTCTCCCCAAGATTGTGTTTCAATTCCAGGGACCTTGACACTAGAGGAGACAGCTGGTCCTTGTTATAATCAGTCACACTCTCACCTGCTGGGATGATTGTTTCTGTTGGACTATTGGACTCTTCATCTGGTTTACGTTCCTCTTGGTTCATGCAAGACATCTGTTTTCCCTTAAATGGCCAGTCATGTGGATGGGGAGACTGGGCATCTTGTTCTTCCTAGGGTAATCCTGGCTATAGTAATGATTAATTATGATTAATGAGTATCTCAGTTCTCCAAATGTCCTAAAATCAATCACAAGTTACATAATTACTGTGTTAACTGGATTCTTAGTTTCCACAGAAAGATGCCACAAGTGGGTGGCTTTAGTTTATTTCCATACCTGAGTCCTTAGGGGTGCAAATGGTTAGTGTGCCCAACAAAATGATACTGTGTCATAGTTCTTACTTCGTTAGGGTATATACCTATTAGTGGATTTCTGGACTAAATGATAATTCTATTTCCAATTTCCTGAGACAATTACAACTGAGCAGATACACAACCATGTTCATGGAATTGTTTTTCACAATAGTGTAGAGATAGAAAGAAAACAAGTATCCATCAATGGATGAATGGATAAAGAAACTATGGTACAGTCACACAATGGAGTACTATGCAACACTAAGAGATGATAAAGAGTTCACAAAACACTGCTTAACACGGATGATTCTAAAGAACATTATGTTGAATACAGTAAGTCAGTCACACTAGGACAAAAATATGAGACCATTGTTATAAAAAAAATGTAAGGAAAGGTTATCACACAGAACAATTCTTGAATGACTGCCAGGGATGGGAAGAGAGGGAGAGTGTAATAAAATCAATAAACAGGTAATAGATATATATTAAGAGGAGCAAAAGGAAAAGCCATATGAAATAAGGGGATGATTAGTCCAACATCACTAAGCAAAGACACGACACAAAGAAGTATAGAAAGATTAGTGGAACTCAGAATTACTGGGATGAAGTAGGAAAATATGATTGCCTTGTGGGTAACGAAATTAATCTTCTGAAACAAAATGTGTATACATGGCTGAACGAAAAATTAATTTGCTTTGTAAACGAACTCAAATTACAATAAAAAAGAGGAAAAAAAATCCCAACAAACCAAACCATCAGTTTGCTGACGAAGGTCTATGTGATTCAAGTCATAGTATTTTCAATCACAGCATATGGTGGCCTAGTGGCAAGAAGCTGTGTTATAATCCCAAAGGTACACAGTTCGAAGCTATCAGATGCTCCGTGGGAGAAGGATCGGCATTCTTCTCCTGGGCAATTAACTGCCTTTGAAAACCTGCTGGAGGGTCAGCTATGGGTTGGTTCTGATTCTATGGTATGCAGCAACAACATATGCAAATGAAGTTAGGCATTTAAAAGGAACACTGAAGAAAGAATGAATGTATTTGCATTGTGATGTTGGTGAAGAATATGGAATACCACAGACTGTCAGAAGAATGAACAAGACAGTTTATAAGAAATACAAATAAAAGGCTCCTTAGACAGGATGGCAAGATTTTTTTTTTGGAGCTATAGTCACATTTATTAGCACAAAATTGATTTACAAAACTCAAGGAGGGCAAGGAATTCCTATGAACTGTAAATTAGTAAATTGCTTTTTTTATTAAATTTTATTAGTTTTAATGAACATTTACAGGGATTTTGGGTTTTCATTCCTTCATTGCTGCACCATTCTCTCTACC